TAGACCCCAGGTTGGTGAAGGGTAAGGGGGGTGAGTTCTCCCAAGCGTGAAAGTCTCCTTCCCCGGATGTTCCTTTGTTCCATTTCTTTTAGAGTTATTCAGTCTTGGTCACGTTATACAGCCACCCCCTCTCCAAATATATGCACACATTTGTACCGCTCATCTTTGTTCCCTGGTTTTTTGTTTTTTTGTTTTCTCGAGACAGGGTTTCTCTGTGGCTTTGGAGGCTGTCCTGGAACTCGCTCTTGTAGACCAGGCTGGTCTCGAACACACAGAGATCTTCCCGCCTCTGCCTCCCGAGTGCTGGGATTAAAGGCGTGCGCCACCACCGCCCGGTTTGTTCCCTAGATTTTTAAAAACAGTATTTATGTATTTGTTTGCTTGTTTGTTTGAGATGAGGCCTTGCTCTGTAGCCCTGGTTGCCAGGCTGGCCTCAAACTTGCTTTGCTCCTGTTACCTCTCCTTCAGAGTTTCTGGGGTGTCAGGTGTGCACCGCCACTCAAACTCTCTAAAATCTTAAGCCTGTCAAAACGAGCGCCGTTTCAGAACCCTCAGAACGTGCTGCTCACCCCTACCCCCCAGACTTTTACCCCCGAGTCTCTTCTGTTTACCCAGGGGTATCCACAAACCCAGCCTCCTCCATGAAGCCCAATTCTATGGGCTCACTCCACTGGGTAAGTAGAAGTCTCCGAGTGTCCCTCCCGACTCCCATCAGTCAGCGCCCTCAGTTATTTCCCAAACATTCTTTATCGATTTGACTCCCCCGGTCAGAAAGACGTTTGGGTTAGAGCTAAGAGCATTCGGTGTGGGTCTGGCTCTGAAGGAGTCGGCAGTTCTGTGGGAAAACAAATGGGGAGACGGACGTGGGTCTGCCTTAGAATCCCTCAAGACCAAGTTTGGAGTCCTTCCTTTGCAGTTCGCCGCCTGCAGGTAAGGGAAGAGCTGGATCGATCCTCCTGCGGAAATGTCCTCTTCAATGGCTATCTACCTCCTCCAGGTGGGCAATCCCAGTAGACGCTGGGGAGGGGAAGATTGGGTTAAAGACTATATTTCCCACAAAGCTACAAACTCGTAGGTACCTGCATTTGGAGCCCTGAGCTCCACTGGGAGTTGTAGTTCTTTATCAGCGTGTTTGGAAAGGAACTAGGAAACAGCATTTTCCATGAGCATGATGGGAGGTGTAGTCTGAGTTTTTTCAGAAAGGAAACATGAAATAAAAAGACAAACATGTAAAGAATAGCATCCTCATGGGGCTGGGGAGATGGCTCAGAGGTTAAGAGCACTGACTGCCCTTCCAGAGGTCCTGAGTTCAATTCCCAGCAACCACATGGTGGCTCACAACCATCCGTTATGAGATCTGGTGCCCTCTTCTGGTGTGCTGATAGACATGGAAGCAGAATGTTGTATACATATTAAATAAATAAAATCTTAAAAAAAAAAGAATAGCATCATCATGCTAACTTTATACCACAAATACACTAGGAACATGAAAATAAATCCCGAATAGACAGCTGGGCGTGGCAGCACATGCCTTTAACCCCAGCTCAGGGGGATGAGGCACATGCCTTTAACCCCAGCTCAGGGGGATGAGGCAGGGGGACATCTCTGTGAGTTGGAAAACAACTTGCTTTATGTATCCAGTTCCAGGATAGTCAGGGCTACACTAGGAGACCATGTTTCAAAATAAACACCACAACAAAAAGCCAGAACAATGCTCCGTCTCCCAAGGAAGAGGGTTCCCCTTATTAGGAGGGAAGATAACCGAAATTTTAATTTATTCTATAATAATAAATAATAATAGCTATTATTATTATTGAGATGCTGTCCCAGTGAACCTGGAATTCACCACCTGGCTGGGCTGGCTTGCCAGCAAAGTGCTCCAGGGGTATAGCGAGTAGTTTACCCACAAGCCCTCTCTGTCGCCCCTGTAGTTAGTTTCATTATTTTATTATGTGTTTGCTGTAGCACTGGAGTTGGCACCCAGGGTATTGTGTGTGCTCAGCAGATGCCATTGCACAGAGCCACACTCCCAAACCTTGACTGGGGAATTCTAGGCGAGTGTTCTACTTCTGACTCAGGCCCACAGCCCTTCCCTGGTAAAGTCTGGGACAAACTCCACTGCTAATCTACACCCCATCTATTCTTACTTTAAAATAATAGTTGTTACATGTATTTGTTTATTGGGGCACATGGGGGAGAGAATTGTGTGTGGAGAGAGGACAACTCGTAGGAATCGTTTCTCTCCTTCCACCACTTGGGGCCCAGGATCAGAGTCGATACCGTTAGGTTTGGTAGCAAGCACCTTTACCAACGGAGGCATCTTACTACCCCTCTACTGTTTCGTTGTTGGGCCTCGACACGTTGCCCAGGCTGGCCTTGAATTTACAATCTCCCAGCTCCAGATTTCCAAGTAGATTGCGACTACAGCCCTGCCTGCTGGCCTGGCTGAAATTACCCAGTAATGAAAAGGCATTAATATCCCACATAGCAGCACCAAACTGGGTCTTTCTCAGTAATAGGCTTCTGGGTCCTTGGATGCTGTACTTGGTACCACAGAACAGCTTCGCCAGAGCACTGTGACCTACACAGGGAATTCATGCCTGTTGTAGCGGAAGTATTCATAGACTGACGGCCACCATGATTATAATTCTGGTGACTGATGGTCCCCTCACTGTAGTATTCCCAGTGAAACGGAGAAACCGGCACAGCCTGGTGGGGCCCCAGCAAGTCGGGGGACGTCCAGCCCCTGTTCGACGGAGCAATACCATGCCCCCCAACTTGGGTAATGCAGGGCTGCTGGGCCGAATGTTGGATGAGAGAACGCCTCCATCCCCAACAGGTAAGCTTTTGCTTGTGCATGTGTGTTGTGCGTGGGACTGAGCCTAGAGTATGCACTCTGGCATTGTAGAACCTCTCTCTCTCTCTCTCTCTCTTTTTTTTTTTTTTATGTTTTGAGACAGGATTTCACTCTGGCCCAGGCTGGCCTGGAGCTCAAAGCCATCCCAGCCCTCTTTCCTTAGCCTCCCGAGTGCTAGAATTACGAGTATGAACTTTCATGTGGGTTCTTCGAGCCCTTGTCTTTGTTTGATTATTTTTAATTATCATCATTGTGAGCATATATATGCGTGTGTGAATACGTAACACAGTGCACTTGTGGAGGTCAGAAGTACCACGTGGGTTTTGGAGATTGAACCCAGGCTGTCTGGCTTCTGCCAGAACTGTTTTTCTATGCTGAACCAACTCCCCTGCACCCAGTCTTCTCTTTACTTTCTGTTTGGAGACAGAGACCCAGGAATTTGCCCAGAGTGGTCTGGAACTTGTGTTCCTTCTGTCTCAACCACCAAAGTACCTGAGATTACAAGGCCTGCCTGCACCACCAGATATAGCTTAAATTTCTGTCCTTTAGGAGGTCAGAGCAACTGGGCCCCTGTGACCCTGCTTTGGTCTCCTGTCTTACCCCCCAAGGCCAACCAGAGGAGCCAGGGATGGTGCGACTGGTCTGTGGTCACCACAACTGGATTGCTGTGGCCTATACCCACTTTCTCGTCTGTTACAGGTGCTGAGGGTGAGGATGGGATTGTGGGAGGCTCTGACCCTTGTAGATACGGAGGCTCTGAGATGGGGATTGCTGATGTTCCCCCAATGTCACAGGCTGAAGGAAGCTTCTGGCTGGCAGCTAGCATTTTCCAGCCCACGCCTGGACTGGCCTGTCGAGCGCCTGGCTCTCACAGCTCGGGTGCTTGGTGGCGCTCTGGGTGAGCATGACAAGATGGTGGCTGCAGCCACGGGTGGCGAGATTCTTCTGTGGGCTCTCCAGGCACAAGGCGGTGGCTCTGAGATAGGTATGCCCTTTGGACTTTTCTAGAACCCTGTAGAATTCTGTAATCTGTTCAAATAACCCAACCCATGGAACTGGATACCCATATGAGAAGAATAAGAATTCTATGTCCTACTCCTTTACCTCGTGAGAGAATGTTCCAGACCTTCATAATCTTACATGTTTCATTTTGCCTTAGATACAGTTTTACCATGTAGCTCAAGCCTTGCCCTCAACTCCTGAATGTTGGACCACAGCCACCCCAAGTGCCACCATACCCAGTTAACACACTGATTATATTTTATTTTTTGGTTTTTCGAGACAGGGTTTCTCTGTGTAGCTTTGGAGCCTATCCTGGCACTCACTCTAGAGACCAGGCTGGTCTCGAACTCACAGAGATCCGCCTGCCTCTGCCTCCCAAATGCTGGGATTAAAGGCATGCACCACCAACACCCGGCTATATTTTATTTTTATATTTATTTATTTATGTGTCTGAAAAGTGGAGGGGGGTCATGCATGTAATCCTGAATCTAATGCCAACACCAGATATGGTGGTACACAGCTGTAATCCAGCACACAGAAGGTAGAGGCTAGCCTGGGCTACATGAGACCCCCGACTCAACAATAACAACAAAATTCAGCCCTCTACTGTCATAGCCCTTTGCCTCAATAGGAGGGTTTGTCCTTTTTTGGAAACCTCTACATGTTAGAATTCTCCCTCCCCTTAGAGCTCCACACCCATCAACACTGCTGTGTAATTCCTGGAATCCTCTTTGCGACAGGGATTCCATTTTCCATTCCATCACATAGCCGCTGGGGTTCTAGCCACACCCCCACCCCTGCAGTAGGCTTCCAATCTCTCCTTGCTACCTGCAGGTGTCTTCCACCTGGGAGTTTCAGTTCAGGCCTTGTTCTTTGTTGGGAATCAGCTCATTGCCACAAGCCACACAGGGCGCATTGGAGTGTGGAACGCTGTGACCAAGCACTGGCAGGTGAGTTTGGGCCACCCTGGCTCCCTCTTCCCCAATGTCTAGACTGTGTAGGCCCGCGAGTTCCTTCCTATTTCACACTGCCTAGAGAGATAACCCTATAGTGGGTGTGAGATAAAAAAAAAAGTCCATGGAACACCAGATGTGGTGGCGCACGCCTTTAGTCCCAGCACTCGGGAGGCAGAGGCAGGGGAATCTATGTGAGTTCCAGGCCAGCCTGGTCTACAGAGCGAGTTCCAGGACAGCCAGGGCTCCACAGAGAACCCTGTCTTGGAGCATCCAGGAGTGGCTGAAGGACCGGCATGAAGGGTAGATGGGTTCGGAAAGGAGGGGGCAGGATTCTTCTAGCCCTGGACTGGAGAGCAGATGCAGAGATGGGGTTGAAAGCAGGAAGCAGGAGAGGGAGATGCAGGTGCTCATTGCTCTACCCAGCCCAGGCCATGTCCAAAACCTGGAGGAAAAACGTGGAGCTGTATTGTGTTTCTCTTACAAAAGTATATTGAGAGAGCAGAGGCGCAGAAAGAAGCACACACAGAGAGAGAAACAGGAAAAACCAGTGGAGGTGAGGGGCACAGAAGCTAAAGAAATGGAGGAAAGTCAGAACCACCGAGCAAGATTGGGCCTGGTGGTGCAGGCCTGCAA